GAGCAGCTTGGTTGTGGTAACGTTCGAAATATCCCAAGTGGGAGAAGGCGGGAGGGGGGGGGAGGAGAAGAGCGGAGTTAGTTATAATCTTCCTCCCGTATTCTCTGAAGTTTCTTCCCCGTTCGGGAGCGGGAGGGTTAGTTACCAATGGTCGAATCGGTACATCCAACTACTTAGATATTCAAGAATCCTTAACAATAAAAAGAGGATGGTTTGTTTTTCCTAGAGACAATACTGAGTTACATTATATGCGGTGGTGTACTTGAAAGACTGCCATTATTCCACTCGCCTTGTCTCTTATTTATAGTAGCTGTCATTGGAGTATAATTCTTAGGAGGGGAAGGGGATAGATATGACTAAGCCCCCCAACCCCACCCCTTGTGCATCATTATACTTAAAAGCTTGTACAGGTAATCCTCAACTGATGACCACAATTGAGCCCACAATTTCTGTTGTTAAGTGAGACATTTGTTAAATGAGTTTTATCCCAGTTTACAACTTATCTGGGCACATTTGTTAACTGCAGTTGTTAAATTAGTAACACTTAACTTAGTAACTTAGTAACACAACTTAGCTTAACTTAGTAATACAAATTAGTAACATTTAACGTGGTAGTTAATTGAATCTGGTTTCCCCATTGACTCCTTATCAGAAAGTTGCAAAAGGGGATCACATGACTCCAGGACATTGCAACCGTCATAACTGTAAGTCAGCTGTCAAACATCCACATTTTCATCACAACCATGGAGATGCTACAAGGGTCATAAATATGAAAAATAAAAAGTCACTTTTTTCAGTGCTGTTGTAACTTCCAACTTTATTCTGAGTACTCAGGTCTATGGTACTGTAAACCAAAGACTGTACTGTGAATATAATTCACTTTCTGGAGGAGTCCAGAGTACAACATGGAATTATAACACTCTGATTTCTGGAAGGAAGTATGATCAGGAATGAATCGGGACCTTTGCTCAACTTGTTGTGTGTTAACATGGGCTATAAACTTTTTCTTCCTCTACCTATTTTAATGATTATCCTACAGGCATGCATTGGGGAGGGGTTTTCCCATTTTTCATTGAAGCAATAATGGCAAGATCCAGCCTAACACGGGTACTTAACTCTTGTTAATCTCCATTGCTACATACATACCTGCATCTAGTTTAAATCATGGGGCAGAAAAAGTAGGTAAGTGGATAAGAAAGGAGGTAAGAAAAAAATGGAAATGGTAAGTCTTGTAAAGGACTGGGAAAAATGAGTGGATGTGAAGATGGATGTGCAAGTGAACATGAATAGGTACAATATGATCCTTCTTGTCCAATGCTGGAGGGAATGTAAGTAAGGAGATCTGTACACAACTAGTTGGAAATCTGGCCCTATGTTCCAGAATCCCACGGTTCAGGAGAAACCAAATTGAAGACTACTCCTGGCTTTGGAGATAAGATGTAGACCCCTTATTGTAAATCTTGAAAGCTGCCTAAGAAAATGTTCCTTGACTTCCAGCAGGAGTCTCCTTGAGAAAAAAACAATTGTCTGGTTCAGTGGTGTAGGCAGGGTCTCTACACACTTTTTTGGACATACTTGATGGCTGACAGAATCCTCAAGGTTGAAAATTTAGTGGGACCAAAGTCCCACAGAAATCCTGGGTATTTGTGCTGAACTGGCAAAAGGAGAGTTGTACCTATTGGGTGCAAAATATTGTCTCCTTGGCCCTAAGAGACTTTTTTTAAAAAAACAAATGTGTCGGTTTGCATAGGAACGCTTCCTTTAAAATAAAAATTATGGCATGGAGAAGGAGGAGGGAATGGTGTTAAAATCCACCATTAATTCTGACTTTGAAGTCATCCTACTCCGGAGTAGCTTCCTTTTCGCCCGACCAGCTCATCTCGAGGAAGTGGTTTCAAACATCCCAGCCTCTGAGTTTTTAAATCATATTAATGCAATTTCCCGTTAAGCTTCTCCTTAATATATATTCAAGATGGTCCGTATAAGTGAACCCTTCGCAACGTAATTTATATATCTAAGAGGATTTCACAGAGGCTGGCGAGGTAAAAGTTTCTGCAAATAAAACATTGTAAATGCAATGCCGGGCAGCGTGCCAGGTACAATATGGATAGCAGGGATCATGGCAGAAAGTCTTTTCACAGAGACATATACTATTTCACGGTAGCAGCCTATAGCGCTTTTCAAAACTTCCCATTTTCAAGGGAGACGTACTGGCTCGAGTGAGATTTTCGTCCTGGGTTTGTAATGGAGAGATAGATATACTTTAGCCTCCCTTGGCTTTCCAAGCTTTTAAGCAGACCCACACAAACGCACACACACATTTAGGGTTTTCGGGGCTTCTCCCTCCACCCTCCGCGAGAGAAACCTCCCCGGAGAAAGATTTCATACGCTTTTCTTTTTGTACCTCTCTGCCTCCTATGGGGGCAGGAGGGGGGGGAGAGAAAGATTTAAGCTTAGGCTTTATTATTTGTGCCTCCCCCTCCTCGATTTTTCACTAGCTCCACTGTGTTGGGGGTGTGGGTTATGTGAGGAAGAGGGAGGGGGAGCGCGCGCTCCTCTGAGGGCATTTTTGTGTAGGTTTTGCGGGCGGGGGAGGGGAAGGCGAGGAAGGAGCGGATGTGAACGGCTCGGCGCTGAACTTGGATGCAACGTCTGCCTAGAGGGCGCAAACCAGCATCCCGCGTCCAAAAGTCTTACGAAGGGCGCCAAAAGTTACTTAAGATCATATTGCTAACCACAAAGAGCTGGAAGTCGTAGAGCAAAACTACTTGCCAGCGAGGGAAGGACAGCCGGGGCCTCACCGATTCCTTCTTCGACCCCTTTCCTCTTCCTCCATGAGGAGAAATTGGAGCAAAAAAAAAAAAAAAAAAACTGGCTTAAGTTACACAGAATGAAGGAGGTGGGGTATCTAATGTGGGAGAAAGAGGGAGAGTTTGTGAAATGGACACTCACAATAGAAAACAGGAATGTTATTCGTCCCCTCCCCCCCCCCCCGAAAAAAAAGGTATTAACCCCTTAAAAAAAGAATAATTTTTGTGGTCTCTGTTCAACAAAATAAACTCAGTAGTCTCATTGAACCCGGTGCCTTACTTAACTTGTCTGCCCAGCTCACACAACTACTGGACTGCTATCAGGAAAGCTCTGGCAACTGGTGCCAAGCTGTCAGTCTGTGGCTAACCAATGGGGCACATTCACCGCCATGGGTAAAGGTTTCAGCTTCCCCTTGCCACCACAGACACCGCTTTGGAAGTATTTGTGGCTGTAGTGCCCCTTGCATGCCAAAACCTGTGTGTAGTGTCTGATGTAGGGACTGAATAGCCTTAAACTGGATTGGTTGTGGCAAGCAGCAGGAACTACACCTAATCTACATCTGGGATACACAGCAGAGGAAAGAAAAATGTTCTCTGGACCAGCAAGCTCTCTTGAGTTCTGAAAAAAAAGGAGGGCAAACCACATTTGGTGCATATGGAAAGCAATACAAGTGGTATTTTCATGGTATTTGAGTTGTTTTTCCTCAGTATGTTCATTCTAAGCAAGTTTTGTCAACCATAAAATACTGTCTAGAAAACTTGGAAAACAAAGAAATCCCATTAAATTTCTCTCCATGGCTTTATATTAATCAAAGGTATCTTGGCCACTCTTTTTTGTTATTAACAAAGTTGGACTGGAAAGTAAAGCCTTCTCTGAAATCAACTCTCTGCAGCCTACAAATGATAAGATTTGAGTCAAACATTGAAAAGGAATCAAATAATATAATAACATAGGCCTTATCCCTCTAATAGACTTTTAAAAGTTTTCTTGCCCCTCCCTTTTTTAAAGTCTAACATTTTAAACTTTCGAGGCGCCTAAATCTAAGCTCCATAAAGGAAGGCTGGCAAGCAGAATGTGGTATGTCTTGTGGTATCCTCTTCCCCTTTTTTAATGAATGGTTATGGATCTGTCAAGTGTCTGAAGGCTGCTGTTTCTTTTGGGAAATGGAAAGAAGATCAGAAAGGACTCCACTTAGTAGATTTAGTAAGGCTGGAAAGAAAATATAAAGCTCAGGGCAAGAAAATGCTGGCTGGCTGGCAATTTTCCAAACCCCCAAAACCAAAGCATTTCTTGTGCCAGAACAATGCATTATGATAAATAAAGGACGGAAGGCTGGATTCTTAGTTTAATCACTTTTAAGTAGTAAATACTGGTGCTTTCTTATTGTGGGTTGCAATGCAGTCATTAAGTTCTGCATTGTTAGTAAAAGTAGCAAAGCTTTAACGTTTTTCAAAGTAGAAACAAACAAGCATGGACATTCAGGAGAATAGCTGGAAAGTATGGCTTGGTGTTGAACTCCCCACCAGGATCTTTACCAGGATCTTTTGTCAAATAAGCCATATAGGTCTATGAATGTCAGCATGTTGAGGTAAATGCATTGTTACCTTTATTAGTTAAAGAAAATAACCTTTAAAACCCCAAAGAATTTCACTCAGGCAGAAAATTCTTGGGGGGAAATACAGTTTTCGGCACCCAAAGAACACAATTATGATACTTGGAGGAGCGTGTTCAAGATAGCACCTATTCTCGAGCTGATTGCTTTGGAAAGGCATTGCAACCACCAGGCTTATAAATGGTTCTTCCGGGCAGAAAAATCTCTGCAGGAGATGAACGGTAGAAAGTTTAGTTCGAAATCCTTCGGAAAGAGAAGAAGTAGGGAAGGGGGGAAAAAGACGTGTGTGCACATGGGAGTCGGGGGTGGGGTGGGGTGGGCGAGAGAGAGAGAGACCGAAATGCCAAAAAGAAGTTTTGGTTGCTTAAGCACATCCTGCATAGCCTATAGCCGCTCGGGAGCCCGACATGCAAGCGGCTCCTAATTGCGTTCCCAGTAATACACTGAGCACGGGGATCTGGGATAGGGAGGGCTGGCCGAGCAGTAGCACTGCAGCCCCCCTCCCCCGGCCAAGGCAGCGAGCGAGCAAGCGAGCTGCTGCTGCTGCTGCTGCTGCTGCGGAGCGGTGCAGAGCGGAGCAGAAGCTGGCTGGAGGCACGCTGGCAGGCACCCGGAGAAGCTGGAGCCCGAGGCTTTCTACTGCTGCTGCTGTCGCTGGAAGCGTGGGGAGGATGGGGGGGAAGTGTGCACTATGCCTTTAACGCCTGGGTACAGTAGACATGTATAGTGTGTAGTGTAGGGAAACTCTAGGCGGGGTTAAAGTTCAGCTCATGGAGCTGATCAGCGCTGGCTGCAGTTTAGCAGAGTTGGAAATGTGAAAGCAAGAAGCAGGCTCGGTTCTTCCCCCTTTCTTTTTTTTTCTTCTCTCTCTCTTTCTCTCTCCCTCTTTCTATTCCTCCCCCTCCCTTTCTCTCTCTCTCTCTCTCCCCTTCCCTCTCTCTCTCTCTCTCCCTCTCACACACCTCCAAGCCACAAACCCCCCACAGCAACCATGTACTCTCCTCTCTGCCTTACCCAGGTAAGAAGCTCTCCGGATTGAATCGGGGGGGGGAGGGGAATGGCGGAGGGGGGGGATTGCGGGAGGTTCGTCTGAGCGTTGCGGGGGGGGGCGCGTCGAGGGCGGGAGGGTGAGACCCAGCTTGCGGAAAGTAACTTTCTTTTCCGCGAGGCTACATTCTTGCTCTGACTCGGCCATTTGTATAGACACATGGCTAATGGCGCCTTGTTATTAAGGTTTTTATTTAATTGATATGGGAATGTGCGAGCTTTTTTGTGTTGGAGAAAAAGCGGGTGCCTCTCGGCAGTGGGGAGGGTCCGTAGCGAAATGCGGTGTGGATGTCTGCGTATGTGGGTGTTTAGGACGATCTGCACGTGTTTAGCAGCCTCGCAACCCATTACATGCTTGGTCATCTGAAATCAATACTTACTGTTTGTGCTTCCGAAACGGACGAACGTGGAACAAACGCAATCCAGATACAATTAGATGCTTTGTGTGTTGTTTTTTAAAGTGTAGCATTAAGTAATTGCGTGCTGCGTGTATTCTTTTCCCCGCCTCCCGGACTGCTGGAGCTGCATTGCTTTTTCTCCATAAAGTCCTCGCGCACTTTTGTGTTGGGTATAGCGTGTAATGTGTTCGGCAGCTTTGGGGTTCAGCCTTTGCCCGTACGCGGCACGCAACGTCTGCTCCGGTCCTGGTCGGAACCGGAGGTCTGGAGAGATGCATTGCACCTAAGCCTCTAACTTTCCCTCCCGTACGTTGCCCCGGGCTTTGATGGGAGAACTTAAGAGCTTTAAGGAATCCACATTGCGCACCGCGCTAGCTGCAGCGGCCGCAGTTCTGCAATCCGTTCCGTTACTCTCCTGCACGGCCCAGTTCGGGAGCTTCGGAGTCTCCAGCAGCCTCTCGCAAGGCGGTTGAAGCAGGGCTCTCCATCCCCAATCAGATCTGCCCTTCCTGGCTGCCTCTAACGCTTGTCACTTGCTCGGGTGTCATATTTGCCTGGGGTTGTTTCCTTTGGGAAATTAGGTTTGTTGTAATGTCCTGCCCGGGGAAAGAAGGAGGCGGGGAAGGGAGTTGCTGTTTGGAGAAAGTTGCTGGGTCCCTTTTGTTTGCATCTGAGCGAAGTTCCTCGTGGATTACAAATCCTTCCAAGTGGGTCTCCAGCCCACTTCGCGCCTCTCCAGATCTCCTGTTTGCATTACTTTGAAATTTGAAGAGTTCTGCGGATGACGCCTAAATACTACCCAGGCAGATCTTTCTGGGAAACTGCGAACTTTAGGAGTTCGGCAACTTTTCTAACTCCCTACACAACTTCCACCCACCCCCTAGCGCTTTGCCCCCCCTCCCAAAGAAAACTCTCATGCAGCGCCAGATTTTTTGGCAACATTCCCACACTACCCCATCCATGCTCCTTCTGAGATGAGTTGCCACTATTTAAAAATCAGAAAAAATAACTTGCATTTCTGCTGATGGTTTTAGCAAATTACATTGCTCGGCCCCTCTTTTTTAACTGATAATCTTTGTTAGACCTTTGGTGTTTCCCACTCTGAACAGTGAAATCGGAAAAGTTCCTAGGGAAATTGTGTAGTTTCTTCCATTGCCATTTCAGCACTTCTGGCCCCCACAGGGAAAAAAACAACAACACTTGCATACTTTAGTTACTAAAGGGTGATGAAAAGAGTGGTTTGGAATTGAGCACTTAGAACACCTTTAAAACACCGGAAAGAAGGAAGAATGAACAATACATGTTCCAAATGACCCAATAGAAATTTAGGAATGAATAACTTGGAAAAATTGTACCCAGTGATTCACAAAAGCTGTCACCTAGAGCCAAAGAATACATTTATTTATAAGAACATATCAAACCAAAAGTACTACACAATGCCATTAAACTTTATTGACTACATTGATTATATGTAGAAGATAACTGATACTGCATTTGGAGGGTGAATTTTTCAAAGCCAACTTTTTCAGAAGTTTTATGTCTCACAGAAAACTCAAGTCAGATCTATTTTCTACTTGTTTTCTATTTTGCTTAAAATAGGTAATATTTAAAATATTGGTATTTTAAATACCAATAAAATGTTCTCAGTCCCCACCTCCCACAAGCGGGGACAGGATTCTAATTTATTAGGCCTTGCTACAGATTTATAAGTTTCCAGATATATTTTTTGTACCTTGGTCCTTAACCTAAGAGTTACTTTGTGGCATGTTGCTTTCCAGTCTCATAGTAGGTTTGGAAATGTTTAGAGATTCAGAGACATCTTTATAGAATCTGTTCAAAAAGTTGTACACATGGCACCTAATTGCTTTGGACCAAAAGATTTCAAAATTAAGAAAGGTTTAGCATCGCATGTTGTTTTCTTTAAATTTGAATGAACATCCATCCACAGTGCTGGAAGATTAGAATATAATAAGGGGATTTCTAAATTTACCCTGTAATATAGGGGAAATTATCTATTTGCTATTTATTATATACTGTTTTGGCTTTATTGTAACATCTTATTCTAGATGTACAGATTATTATGTAAATTATGGACAATGAAAATATTAATGCTGTGAAAGTTTATAAATCTGGCAAAGTTTCAAATAGAGCAGATCAGTGAATTGTTTCTAAATATTGCTGTAGTTTGTTTTTACTTAAATATGTATGCTTGGCTTCTGTGTTGTATATTCCATGTTCAAATATACGTTAACAAGTTTTGTTAAATAATTCAAATGTATCTGTATAGCTATGGTAAAGTGTTATTAAGAACCCATAGCTGTGAACCATAAAAAGTATTATAAACTCACTTTTGTTACTTTCCTCTTCTGCCAATGTGGAAGATATAAATGGGATCATGTGATATATATAAAAAAACCTCTTCATTTAATGTTATAGAACTTTTACCTATAATTTCAACTTTAAAAGAAAAGCATACATACCTGTCTTTTTTCTTTTTTCTTTTGGTGGTGGTAGTTGTTACTTTTAATTTTTAAGTAATTCTGACCCACATCTAAATGTTCTTAAATTTTCTGGAAAGTAATTATTTGTTTTAGTTGTGAATATATACTGTATAATAATATTCTTATATTTTTTAAAAAATAATGTATTATAGAGTAGACAGGTCCTTCTTGAACAATTGATCTTTCAACTGTTTGGCGGAAGCCAATCTAGATAGCATTACTTATACCAGCAATGGAGAATCTCTTAATTATATCATTATGAGAAAATCATTTGATGGATTTTGAATATTTTAGGTAGACTTTTAAGCTGTTGTCTTCTTTTTTCAATCGTATTTAGCATTACCAGATTTTATTATACAATAACATTGACTCAAAATGTGAGACACTACATATAGTTAAATAAATGATAAAAACGTTTGCAAAATAAAATCAAGATGCATTTAAGAAAGCACAAAAATTTGTAGTAATCTTTTATTTTAGGATGGGTAATTTTGCAGATATATGGCAGAATGATAAGCATTCCCAAATATTCTTTCTCGCTCTCTCTTTCTTTTTTTGCCATAGTTGGCGATTGTATGAATGTGAGAAAGGCCTCAACATTTTTTGTTCTATGCACAATTATTTCAGTTGTAGCTCTGATTAGTGACTAGCTTGGATGTGAGAGGAAATTTATGAAAATATAGCTATTTAATTGTCAATATAATTTTTTTTAGTTTTTTTCATGGGATTTATGTAAATTGTTATTTTGTTACATGTAATCATTATGTATTAAATGGTATAAATATTAAGACATTTTTCCCTTCAAAATCAGTCAATACACTTAATCTACTTTATATTATTTTGAAAAATATTTTCTGCAGAAAATTAATTCAACTCAATATTTTCATTATGTTGGTAGAAAGCGGGTAATTATTTTTAGAAGATAACAGAAGATCCAACTGGTGAAACTCTTTCATATTTTTGTGCTCTCTTATCCCTTATCTTTTGGTTCTGAAATTTCCTGCATTGTTCAAGGAATTTTAGACATTGCTATAGCATTACATAACAATACCCTTTTATAAGAATACCCATCAAATTATTTTAAGAATTCATTTTCTGAATTACATGAATTAAGAAATCTAGACACCAATTTTATTCATTCTTAGGGGAAGTAAGTCTCAATGAATTCACAAGAACTTCCTTCTGAATAGGCATGTATACATTTGCACAGTAGACATTCAGTATTGAAGGGCACATACTTCTAGGAACAAGACGGAGGCCATGTTGTCTTCTAGTATGCCAAGATTGCTTCCTCTTCTTACAAAGAAAGCCCAAATTCGGCAAGAGACCTCCTAATATTTCAAAATAGTGCATTTTCATGATCATATTTTTACATTGCACATTTTTTCTACATATGGTTTTATAACTAAGTGCATACGTATCAATAATGGGCACTCTTACTAATTTCAGGTGGTGTTTTATAGCATTGAAGGATACTTTATTTATTTAAATATTTATAATACAATGTTTCTTACTGTAAGGTAGACATTGGAGAAATGTTTAAACCCCCTTTTTGGTTTTATAAAAGGAAAACTTCACATAAAAGACATGAAGAAGTAGATAATGTTTTCATTAGCAACGATTGTTCACATAATATTTTTTAAAAGTGTAGAAGCCCTTGTATACATGCATGCATACATAATGCATTTTAAGACGCACTAGCATTTCAGTTCCGTTTCTCATTTTTTCTTAAAATATTTGTGGCTTAGAATGTATTAAAGCCATAATATCTTCTATACTATTATTGTTTCCTAAATAAAGATCAGAAAGCTTAGTTGAAAGATTTCTATATTTTATTGTGTGTAGAAATTATTTTTTGTTAGTGTGAAATTCTTTTTATATATTCCATTTTATTTAGCATTCTATTGTGTTATATTCACACATTCAATCTTAAATTAAAAAAAATACATTTTTATCATACATCAGATGGTAATTGGCTGATAATGTTTCGACTTTGAAAAGTTAAAAATTTGGCAAGCATATAGCAAGTTGGTCACATCATTCACAAGAATGGGAAAAGCAAAAGAATATATTTCTTTCTTTTTAAAAAATGGATGAAAATTACAGTGGTCTTGTCGCAGACTTGAAATAATTGATTTTGGAGTTACCCTATTGACTTAACATTGAACTATTGTAAAGTCAGCTGTTTAAAGCTTAGAGTCTCACCTTTCTGACCTAAAATAACATTTGCTGCAAAGTCAATGCTATGAGTTTTATTGAATTTGCTTGTTTTAGCAAATGTGATTCACACTATTACGGCAAAATATTTTCAGCACTTGGTGTGTGGGACTGAATGACAGCAAAAAGTTGATCCTTTGTTATCAGAATGTAGAAACATTTAGGCCTGTGCATAATATAGGTGTTGCTCTGTTATTGGCCTAGTTGTAAGTTACAGTCACCAATTCAGAAGACATAAAACCTTCACACCTCACACCTTTTCCTTGTAGTAATTTTTTTCCCCACTGATTATTTTCAGGATGAATTTCATCCCTTCATTGAAGCACTTCTTCCCCATGTTCGAGCATTTGCGTACACCTGGTTCAACTTACAAGCTCGAAAGCGAAAATACTTTAAAAAACACGAAAAGCGCATGTCAAAAGAGGAAGAAAGAGTGGTGAAGGATGAATTGCTAAGCGAAAAACCTGAAGTTAAACAGAAATGGGCATCCAGACTTTTGGCAAAGCTTCGGAAAGACATCAGGCCTGAATATCGGGAAGATTTTGTTCTAACTGTGACAGGAAAAAAACCTCCTTGTTGTGTTCTTTCCAATCCAGACCAGAAGGGCAAAATGAGAAGAATTGACTGTTTACGGCAAGCAGATAAGGTCTGGAGGCTGGACCTTGTTATGGTGATTTTATTTAAAGGTATTCCGCTTGAAAGTACTGATGGCGAACGCCTTGTAAAGTCCCCACAATGCTCAAATCCAGGGCTATGTGTACAGCCCCATCACATAGGGGTTTCTGTTAAGGAACTCGATTTATATTTGGCATACTTTGTGCACGCAGCAGGTAAGTGCCTATATTTAAAGTTGTCCACTGTTGAATACGTTTGTTGTGCAAGGACTTAACCGCATGGTTATTCCAGTGCCAGGCGTGTTTGCACCTGACCATGTAAGTTAATTAAACTGTGTTGCTTTGCTGCGTCTCTGATGGTGTTCCGGATGTCCTCAGAAGCGGAGAAGCTATAGATTGTGTAAAACTGCAACATAGTACAAAAAAAAGTGATTGTGAAAGAACAGTGTCTTTCACTATTGACCTAATGTGCAACGTACCTGAAGCATTTTCATTAGAATCCCTTTTGAAAATGCTTGGCATTAGAATGTTGTGTATTTCATAGAATTATTTTTTTAGTTTGGTGTTAATTTGACCACGAAGAAAAGAAATGAAAACAATATTTATGCTGTATAAGTCAAGTGTTTAAATGGTTAGCATACCTAAAAAGAAGTAGGCAAAAACAGAGGCCTTACCAATTGATATATGGATTAAAGAAATTTCTGCTTAATGAAGGAAGAAAAATTTAAAAAAATGTTCTTAGTAATTCCTCTATATAAATAGAATATTATTGATTTTAAAGAATGATTTATTAATTTAACCGTGCTGCATGATAGAAAATGGATGTATGCATTCTTTTTTATTCTTAATGCAAAATAATACATTTTTCTGCAGCCTGCTTTGAGGAAGTTTGTTACCTTATGACTTTTGGAGGATAAAATAAGCACCAGAGTGATATTTCTAAGCAATTCATTGTAATTTAGTTTTACCAAAAGTTCAGTTTGGAGATATGGAGAGGAAAAGTGTTAGATTTCTCAATACTTTAAATACATACATCTGTGTTTGTATGCAGCCTTTTTAAATGTGAGGCATATTGTTAGCTTTTAGGTGGTTTTGTACAAAAGTGAAGTTGCCTGTGTTTCTTAACGGCTTTATATGTAGTAGTGTTACTGTGATAATTGGTATGTGCACTTATAATTTTGGTTTTTTCTATGAAATCACACAGAGTGGTGTGCTCTGAATATGAACTATCATGCACTTTTTACTAATGAAGCATCTGAAAATATTCATAAAGATATGATTTTTTAAAAAATTCTCTAAGTCTATGACTTTTATTTGGGATCTGTGTTTTGTATGTGTCTAATAATGGCTGTGTTTTATTAAGTGCAAATGTTTATAATAGATTGTGGCCTCTGTAAGAGTTCATAGCTATATATATATAGTGTGCCGAGTGGAAAAATCAATGAATTAAGAACAGATTTAAAAATACAGAAATTTAATAAAGTTGGTGTTAACGGCATATTACAAACTCTTTTTGCACATTTGTTGATGTATAATGCAAATTTTAAATAGATTTTTAAAGGATTCATATTTCATTGAAAGTGTTTGTTAAATGCTATGCTTTTCTCACTGTAGTCTAGTTATTTAAAGTTGTTAATTGGTAATATTGCAAAAAACCAGACAGCTTTAAAACCTTTTCTAAAACTATAACTGCACTATAATATTGTTAGCAAAAATAAAATGCACAAAGTGGAAAAAGAAAACAGTGCATGCAAGCAGGCTGAATATAACCCTTTGCTCCCAATATAGATGTTAAGAAAATATTGTAATATTTTAATTACAACTCTTGTGCTTTACTTTCGCTGAAGAGAGGTAACTCTCATTTTGAATAACTTTTTCAATTGTTTTGAAAACCAACTAAAGGTATTGTACAATTCAACCATATAATTTATTCAAGACTTGTTCATTTGAGTTCAGTGTTTCTATATAAAATACAGGTGGTACTTATAGTTTTTTTAATAAATAAAAATAGCTTTTAAAATACATATTATGGTTTAATACATGTATGTATTGCATCATATGCTTTATGACGTGTTTTGGAAAATATTTCAGTAATCACAATGAAAAGCATACCTATTATCTTTATATGCAATATATCCCTGGCAACATTCATTGTTTGTGAATGAGGAAGAAAGATTGTACAGATATTCCTTGACTTACAACCGTGATTGAGCCAAAAAAATTTGTTACTAAGTGAAACATTTGTTAAGTGAATTTTGCTCTGTTTTATGACTTTTCATGCCTCAGTTCACTGCTAGGTTAGTAGCACTGTTAGTAACACTGTTGTTAAATGAATCTGGCTTCCCCATTGATCGCTTGTCAGAAGATCCCAAAAGGGGATTGCATGACCCCAGGACACTACAACAGTCATAAATATGAGTCAATTGCCAAGCATCCGAATGTGAATCACACTGCCGTGATGATGCTGCAACAGTCATAAGTGTGAAAAATGGTCATATGTCACTTTGTCAGTGCCGTAACTTTGAATGGTCACTAAATGAACTGTTGTAAGTCGAGGACTACCTGCACTTGAAGTCTGCTTTATTCTGATATTTCCCAGAATCCTTTGTCATCCCAGAATACCAGTGAGGTTTGTGCTAAGTGCCCTTGGATAGGTGTAGTAATGAAACCAGCATTTGTTTATTTGTATGTTTGTTTATTATTAAACAAATTTATAGAGCCACCCAACTCTATAGGTGACAGTTTATAGTTTACATCAGATGCAAACATTAATACAAGTCTTAGGCATCCATTGTTGTCAAATGTTTCCAAATGGTGGTAAACATTATTAATTATGGTAAGGAATTTGCCAGTATAAAATGAAGAAATAATACTAAAATTGACTTTCATGCAGTGAGAATTGAAGAGCAATTCAGAAATCCTCAACATTTTTATGTGGTAAAACTTTTGTTATCAGAAATGGAAAGAAATTCACATTGTATAAGTTTTTTGTCCTATATGTACTAAAACTATTGCGATATCTTCACTTTGTACATTATTATTATTATTATTATTATTATTATTATTATTATTATTATTATTATTATTATTATTATTATTATTATTATTATTATTATTATTGCTTCATACTCTTCTGAAATAATTTAATTCTTAACCTTTTCTAGACAAGCTGTCCCTTTTTAAAGTTCACGTACCACGATTGCTTTAAAATTTTATGGTTTTCCACATTTTACCTTTTTTCAGTCTTAACTTTTAAAATTATTTAGCCACACTGTCCTATTCCAAGTAGGCTAAATCATAAAAGTATTAGTCCTATGTAGTAACAAGAAAGTGCAATTTTGTAACTAAAAACTTTTTCCATATATATATACTTAATATATACTTCCATATATATATACTTAATATATACTTCCATATATATATAC